AACCAGATTCCATGTTAGCACGTAGATTACGCTCTTTTACACATCACCCCAAACCGATTTCTCTACGCACTCATCAGAATGCTCTCGCAAGTAACCCTGTAGTGGTATTGGAGGAGTTCTGGCATCGACTTGCCAGACTTTATACGGATCTACACGGGCTGACAGTCTATTTCTGACTTTTTATCCCATCTGTCCTTGCCTACTTTGACTCAGGCTCATAAGGACCTGATGGACCGTGATATGCAAATATCAGAAGTTCTGCAATGCATTGCGCATCTGAAGACGGGCAAACGCCTAGGTCCAGATGGTTATACGGCCTTCTATTACAAGAAATTGGCTGATGTGCTTGCCCCTCACCTTGCCGCTATGTTCAATGCGGTGAAGGGAGGTTCAAACTTTTCCCCCTGACTCTTTGCTAATGTGGTTATGATCCCAAAACTGGATCGTGATCATTCCTCTTGGGCAAACTATAGGCCAATTTCTCTTATTAACATTGACATGAAAATCCTCACCAAGATCTTAGCCACTCGTTTGAATTCTTTCCTATCTTGTCTGATAAAAAAAGGACCAGGTGGGTTTCATCCCCCCACAAACAAGCCGGAGATGCCATAAGACGCATGTTACAATTACATTTGGCTCATGTTCGCAAAATTGATATGATGCTCCTATCTCTAGATATCAACAAGGCCTTTGACACTTTGTCCTGGCCTTATCTCATGTCAGTCCTTCACCGTTTTGGATTTGGTCCCTCGTTTTTACGTTGGATCTCTTCATTATATACGTCCCCTCAAGCAAAACTTAAATATTATGGTTTTGAGTCCTCAACGTTCCCTTTTGGCAGGGGAACTAGACAAGGGTGCCCACTTTCTCCCATACTATTTATCTTGGCTTTGGAACCTTTGGCAGAAGCTATTCGTATGCATCCTGATATTAAGGGAATAGACGTAGCTGGTTCTCAGCATAAGTTATCTATGTTTTCTGACGATATATTGTTGGTCACGAACCCGGGGGTCACTTTGCCAAATTTACTTGCGGTTTTGGATTCCTTTGCAGCTCTCTCAGGCCTCCATGTCAACCCTGCCAAATCTAAGGCTATGTCAATTACCCTCTCACCATCACTCTTGGCTACTCTGAAACATTTGTTTCCTTTTCAATGGCTCTCGGCCTTGCCGTATTTAGGAATCAAGCTCACCCCAAATTATGAAGGACTTTACCGGGCTAATTTTCCCGCCGTTTTTAATGAACTGACAGAGCTGTTGTCCTCCTGGTCTCACTATCCGTTTTTCGTGGTTCGGTAGAATCAATGCAATCCGTATGACTTCTCTTCCCAAATTATTGTATGTGTTCCGAGCTTTACCTGTCCCTGTTCCCTCACATATATTGCGTATTCATCAGCGAAAACTCCTGTCTTTCAGTTGGGGTTCTTCTCGACCCAGAATTAGTAAACAAATCTTATTTGCTCGTAAGACCGCGGGTGGGTTATCTGTCCCAAATCTTCAGTCTTACTATCTGGCAGCCAATATTGCCCCCTTGGCCCATCTTCATGCATCTCACCACTTTCCCTTGTGGGCTACTATAGACTTGATGGATTCCCATCCGATACCACTCTCTTCTTTGCAGTGTCTTCCCTCTACTCATCGACCTTCATCCCTTAGTCAGATGCTAACGCTTCGTCTTTGGGATTCTATTAAATATTCCGCTGGTCTCATCTCTGCCCACCTACAGTTACTACGTTTGCTACATAACCCATTATTCCCCCCGGGTCGTGATAACCCTGGACAGTTTGCTTGGTGGCAAGCACATGGCTTCCATGATGTACATTCAATGCCATCTCACACTCGAATACTCACCTTTGAAACTCTGTGCTCCTCTCATGATATCCCATTGCGGGAACATTATGGCTATCTTCAAATCCGCCACTTTATCAATACATTAACACAGACGCACTTGGGACCCTACATGTTGTCCCCCTTTGAAAATCAATGTAGACATAGACCCCATGCTTCGGGCTTAATTTCTCTGGTCTATTCTATTACTTCTTCTAGAACTCCCCCGGTCTGTTCTTATCATCAGCGTTGGCAGTCGGAACTCGGGGGCACAGGATTGACTGACCATGACCCAAGCGTTATCTAAATGCTCTAGGAATGTTATCATACTAGCAAATGCTTATAAGGATCTTTATAGATGGTATTACACACCTGCTCGTCTGGCTCGTTTTATCCCTACATATTCCCCAACTTGTTTTCGGGGCTGTCAAAAAAAAGGGGTACTATGGTCCATATTTGGTGGACTTGTCCTAAGGTTTGCAGATTGTGGATCAGAGTTTATGCCCTTCTCCGTACTATGTTTCACACAGACATTAAGCGCAACCCGTATGAAGTGCTTTTATTTAAACCATTAGTGGGCCTACTTCGTCCAGAACGGCAGCTGGCATCACACCTGTTTATGGCTACCAAGCTGACGATCGCAAGGGCTTGGAAGACTCCCCTCCTCAGCTTCAAAGTTGTCAAAAGCATTATGAACTTCATAATGGTCAATGAAAAACTGACGGCTATACTGTTAGACACCCACACAAAATTCCTGCAGACATGTCATCCCTGGCTTGATATAGCCCAACCATCGAGATTCGACCAGTCCCTTTTGTCGATATAAAATTACATATCAGTTTATTTTTCTTTTTTTTTTCTGCTGCAATCCCCCTGGAGCCCTTTTTGTTTTTGTTTTAGTCTCCTTCCTCTTCGTTCCTCTTTCCTTTTTGTCTAGTCTGTTTTCATGCTATGTGTACTGATTGTGATTATTGCTTTGAGTGCCGCACCAGCAATACTATATCCTTATGCTGGACTGCATCGGCAGGCCTGCGTGTGGAATGCCCATTTTTATTCAGAGAGGTTCCATCTCATATCATCTCCGCTTTCTTTATGCTGATATAGTGACAATTTTTCCTTAGAGTTTATATTCTCATTGGTCTATAAACGTTTCCCATTTTTGCACCTTATTGTTTTTTCACCTTTTTTTTTTTTTTCCCCTCTTTCTGTACTCGACACTTAAGTATGCTGTTTATTTCTATGTCTCTCCATCAGTACGTATTTTGTAATATTCATCGAATACCTTGTATGTTTTATTCCTGTTGGTCAATGTATCTGTTTTTGACTGATTCGCTGCTCCTATCTATTCTATAATAAAAGTCTTTGTAAAAGAAAAAAGAGTTGGGGTCGCTGCTTAAAGATTTTCTGCAAAATATAACGCAGGAAATGTCTAAAACCTTTCAAAATTTTAGGGAACAAATGTAGGAACCTGGCATGGACGAGCCCCAACCAGGCCCCTCAGGCGTTTCCCTACCTGCTCAGAAGAGGAGAGAGAACCCGGGTGCCGTTACAGTCCAAGAGGACGAACCCTCTGTTACTTCCGACTCGGAGGAAGGTGAGACGGAAGAACAGGACCACAGGTCACAGAGGTTCCTTTTTCCGGTAGAGGATACAGAAGGTCTCCTGAAGGTAATCTACGATACCCTGGACTTAGAAGAGGAACAACCAGATCTCTCTCTACATGACCAACTTTACGCAGGGCTACAGAAGAAAATCGGCCGCACATTCCCGGTCCACTCCACCCTATGGTCTACCATAAGGAGGGAATGGGAAGAGCCGGAAAGGAAGGCTTTTTTTCCTAACAATTTGAAAAAGTGTTTCCCATTTAAGAATAAAGATGCGTCCGTATGGGAGTCCTGCCCGAAACAAGACGCCCCACTTTCGAATATTTCTAAATCCACAGACCTATCGTTTGAAGACGGAGGCTCTTTAAAGGATCCAATGGACCTCAAGGCTGACACCTTTCTTAAAAGGGCATGGGAAGCGTCTGCGGTAAATTTTAAACCAGCAATAGCAACTACCTGCGTTTCCAGAACCCTGGATGTATGGCTGGGTCAGCTTCCCTCTCACCTGGAACAAGGTACTCGGGCGGAGGAAATTCTCAAGTCATTACCAGTCTTGGAGAAAGCAGTGGCCTTCATCACAGACGCATCGGCTGAAACAATCAAGTATACAGCAAGATCAACGGCACTCATAAACTCGGGCCGTAGAGAAATCTGGTTAAAATCCTGGCAGGGGGATGTCGCCTCCAAGTCCAGGCTCTGCGGCCTACCCTTTGAAGGAAAACTCCTCTTTGGGCCAGAATTGACCTCGGTTCTCGAGAGATCGGCCGATAGGAGAAAAGGGTTTCCTAACCCTAGCAGGCAAATGGGATGGAAATTTTTTTGCCCCAACAGGCAGCAAGGGAGGAAAAATTTCAAGGTCAGAAAAAGGGTTGGACCTTCAAAAGAGGAAGGGAGGCTTTTTCTTCAACCCCAACCAGGTCAAATCCAAGGCTCAGCCCAAGTGACTGGCGAAGCCAAGTGGGAGGAAGACTGGGACACTTCCACGCACAATGGCTGAAGACTACCCAGAACACATTTATCCTAGACACAATTCGCAATGGCTACAGGATAGACTTTTCAAGACTTCCCCCTCGGAGGTTTTTCGTGACCCCCCCCCCCCCCCCCTTACCAAGGGAAAGGGAAAAGGCAGACACGCTGGTGAACCTCCTGGAAGAGATGCTCCAACAGAATGTAGTCTGTCAGCCGGAGGAGTAAGAGAGGGAAAGAGAATTCTACTCCCATTTTTTTCTAAGAAGAAAGGCGTCTGGAAGTTACAGAATGATACTCAACCTAAAAAGGTGAACGAATTTGTAACACCCAAATAGTTCCACATGGAAACAATACACAAGATGAAGGAACTCCTTCCGCCGGGAGCATTTATGGCATCCATAGACCTAAAGGACGCATACCTTCACGTCCCAATAAGGCAGGCATGTCCAAAGTCCGGCCCGCGGGCCATTTACGGCCCGAGGGTCGGTTTAATACGGCCCTCCATGTCAGTGTGTCATATGGAGCGGCCGGTCTGGTATTTCCACCGCGGCCGTGTCAGAATACCGGGGGCCGGCCGCTCAGCTCTGCAGCGGGACCTTACCTGTTCCTCTATCCAGCGGCGCACTGTCTTCTCGGCTTCTGTAGTGTGGGCGCTGGGCATGACAGCCGGGTGCCAAGTGCGCATGCGCAAGAAGCGGTGCTTTTTGTGAATGGTAAGGCGGTACCTGGGACACATGACAGATCCCAGAAGCCGCCGGACCAATCACAAAGCGCAAGTGCTTCTCGCTCATGCGCACTGGGCACCCGGCTGTCATGCCGAGCGCCATTACAGAAGCCGGGAAGACAGCGCGCGGCTGGATCGAGGAACAGGTAAGATCAAAGAACAACTGCGGAAGTAAGAGCAGGTACCTGTCAAATTCAGGTACCCGCTCCCCACCTCCCCAAAGGTCAGCAGTCATCCCTGTGCTGTCCGCAGTCTCTGGTCATCCCTGTGCTGTCCGCAGTCTCTGGTCATCCCTGTGCTGTCCGCAGTCTCTGGTCATCCCTGTGCTGTCCGCAGTCTCTGGTCATCCCTGTGCTGTCCGCAGTCTCTGGTCATCCCTGTGCTGTCCGCAGTCTCTGGTCATCCCTGTGCTGTCCGCAGTCTCTGGTCATCCCTGTGCTGTCCGCAGTCTCTGGTCATCCCTGTGCTGTCCGCAGTCTCTGGTCATCCCTGTGCTGTCCGCAGTCTCTGGTCATCCCTGTGCTGTCCGCAGTCTCTGCTCATCCCTGTGCTGTCCGCAGTCTCTGGTCATCTCCTGTACTGTGTCTGCAGTCCATTAGTTCAGAAATTTTTTTTTTTCCTGTTTTCTGCCTCTAAAACCTAGGTGCGTCTTATGGTCAGGTGCGTCTTATACGGCGAAAAATACGGTAACTTGGCATAAAATAATTTATTTGCATTTAATTGTAATGGTTCAAAGAATGTTTGGAAAAATGTTCGGCCCTCCACCATGTTCACTTCATCCAATCTGGCCCTCTTTGAAAAAAGTTTGGACACCCCTGCAATAAGGGAAGAATCGAGGAAGTTTCTAAAAGGCAAACTAAGAACGATCCTATTCCAATTCAATGCACTCCCTTTTGGTCTATCTTCAGCTCCAAGAATATTCACAAAGATCCTAGCGGAACCTCTGCAAGCCCTGAGGTTACATGGGATAAACATCATTCCCTATCTGGACGACCTACTCTTATTTGCGGACACGGAAAGAGGTCTGAAATCCTACATAGAGCTAACAATATCCTTCGTGGAAAACCTAGGATGGATAATAAACACAGAGAAATCACAGCTAGTCCCTTCCAGCAGGATCACGTATTTGGGATACATTCTGGACTCCACAAATACTTGCTTATACCTGACCCGCAGAGAAAGCGCTCAAACTACAACAAGACATGGAAACCTTCCGGGGGATGGCGACCTGCACAGTCAGAAATGCCATGAAGCTTGTCAGGCACATGACAGCCTCCATACTGGGGGTACAATGGGCACAACTATACTCCAGAACGATGCAGAACCACGTCCTCTCCTACTGGGATGGCAGCCAAGCATCCCTAGTGATTCACTTTGTGCGTGAGGCGGATGCATCACGTTTTGTGCGTGAGGTGGATGCATCCGCCTCACGCACAAAGTGAGAGAATCACTAGAATGGTGGGGGAACATCCACACACTAAAGGCGGGAAGGAAGTGGAAGCAACCCCAGTAAGAATCACCACAGACGCAAGCATGTGAGGGTGGGGTGCGCATATGGAGGGTTGCCTGACCCAGGGCAAGTGGGACCCGGAGATCTCAAGGAGATCATCAACCTTCAGAGAATTATTGACTATTTTCAGAGCTCTCACAGCTTTTCAGAAGAAGATAGAGGGGAAAGAGGTTCAGATCTTGTCCGACAACACAGCGGCGGTTGCATACTTGAACAGGCAAGGAGGCACAGGTTCTCGAATCTGATGGAACTAGCAGAAATCCTCCTGAGCTGGCAGAAAGGAATCTAAAATCCATCACAGCATTGCACCTGAAAGGAGATCTGAATCAGCTGGCGGACCAGTTGAGCCAGGAGGAAGTCAACCAGTCAGACTGGTGCCTCAGCCGCACAATGTTAGACTAATCTGTGCCAGATGGGGTACTCCTTCCATAGACCTCTTCGCCAACAGGAAGAACACAAAACCAAAGAAGTACTTTTGCCTGCAAAAGGACCCCAGGAGGTCAGGGACAGACGCACTAGCCCAACAATGGGAGGGAGATCTCATCTACACTTTCCCACCGTTCAGGTTGTATCTTCTGTATCACTCTGGGTAGCAATCATCCCAAGCCAGGGTCATCCTGATTGCTCCATTCTGGCCCAAAAGATCATGGTTCTCCCTGCTGAAGAAACTGAGCCTAACGGACCCGTGGATGATACCGCCCGCGCACGATTTACTCGCACAAGGGGCAGTGGTACACCCACACCCGGAAAAGCTATCCCTGACAGCTTGGCTTCTGAGCGGAACAGGCTAGCTAGAAAAGGGTTATCAGAAAGAGGAGTCACCACCATATTAGATGGGCGGAAGATGCCGACAAACACCATATATGTCAAAGTCTGGAGAAAATGTTCCTTCTGGAGAAACAGGAACGAGTTGTCAGGGGCCCCCATCCTAAATACAGTACTTGAATTCCTTCAAGCCGGGGCAGACAAGAACCTGGCCGCCAATACTCTCAAAGTGCAAATAGCCGCTCTGTCTAATTTCCTGGAGCTGAGATTAGCAGAAGACCCCTTAGTAATCAGATTCCTGAGGGCCATCTCCAGGCGCCGAGTTCCGTCCATGCCAAAATACCCTATATGGGACCTAGGCACAGTTTTAAAAAGTTTTCAGCAAGAACCTTTTGAACCCTTGGAGGAATGCTCTCTCAGGCATTTAACCCTCAAAACCACCCTCCTCATAGCCCTGGTCTCCGCTCGCAGAGTCAGCGAACTACAAGCTCTGTCAGTAATAGAACCATACTGCACAATCCTGTTGGATAGAATCATCCTGTGCACAGATTCGGCATTTCTGCCAAACGTCGCGTCGCATTTCCACAAATCAGAAGAAATAGTAATACCATCCTTTGTTAGAAACCCAAGCAACGCCAAAGAGGGTGACCACAACAAAATTGATGTAAGGAGATGCTTAATTGCATACATTGAGCGCACGAAAACATGGAGACGCTCATCCAGTCTCTTCATCCTATTCCAAGGCCCGAAGAAGGGATACAATGCCTCCCAAAGGCACCATCGCAAAATTGATAAGAGAAGCCATCTCAGAGGGATACAAGACTGCGTCGCTGGCGCCTCCACCTGGTTTAAAGGCGCATTCAACCAGGGCCATCGCAGCTACCTGGGCGGAAAAGACTGGGGCCTCCCCTGGACAGATCTGCAGGGCCGCAACATGGTCCAGCTTCAGCACCTTCGCTAGACACTACCGGTTGGACCTGATTGGCAACAAAGACCAGGCGTTGGGCAGGAAGGTCCTGCAAGCGACAGCCCCGCCCTAATGTACGTATTCCTATTCAATCCTTTCATGTGAAGCTGTCCTAGAAGATGACTAGGGAAAACGCAGTTATTTACCTGTTAACTGTATTTCCAGGAATCTTCTAGGATAGCGTAACTCCCTTTCGATTACTGTGTACTTATATGCTGGTGTCAAGTCATGCAATGAACTAGTGATATATTGTTTCGACTGCCATCTTTATGCTTTCTCCTAGGCCTTTGGTCATATTCCTGTATTGAGGGTCCCCAAGGGAGAGAGGCTACTTGTAGGAAAAAAAGGTGGAAGGGGTGTTTCCTGGGAGGAGCCTATCTCTCATGTGAAGCTGTCCTAGAAGATTCCTGGAAATACAGTTAACAGGTAAATAACTGTTTTTTTTTTTCCCAGCAGGAGCAAATTAGATCATGCTTTGCTGGGTTTTTTTTTTTGCCTTCCTCTGGATCAACTGTGGGTTTAGGACAATAACTTTTTTTTTTTTTTGTTTTCTATGGTTGATATGGATGGACTTTTTTTTTTTTTTTTTTTTTTTTTTTTCTTTTCCAGCCAGACTAACTATAACTATATAACAACTGGGAACCTCACTTTTATCATTCACTGCATGCGCTGCTAGTAATACTGAGTCAAGTCAGAGCTTACTGAGCTTCAAAGAGGGCAAATTGTTGGTGCCCGATTTAGCTGGTGCCTCTGTGACTGACGTTGCTGAACTTATTTGCCGTGTAGTAAGGACAGTATCAAAGGTTATGATGGCATGTACAGTTTCTGAGAACAAGTTCAACATAGTCATCTGACCTAAAGAGACAAAAGGACTTTGCACAGGTTTGTGACCCGGAATAAGAAAACAACTGCTGCAAAAGTGACTGCAGAGCTCAATCTCAGTCTTCACTGGACTGCAAATCATGTAGTGTTTCCATTTTTTTTTTTTTTGTCTAACCCCTGTATATATGTGCTCCTCCTTCCAACCACAGCACATTTTTTTCAACAGGTTCCAGGCATTGATTTTTTGGCTGAAACCTGATCACCTGTGTCCACTCACAGCACAGAGACCTGTGTGGATAAACACACAAGACTCTGTAAACAGAAGAGTAATTTTGCTGTTTCTTCTCCCTGAAAAGTATGGAGATGGAACCGCAAGGTCTGCAAATAAAAGCAACACATATTACATACTTTACACCTTGTTTGCACACACTTAACCCCTTGATTGCCCCTAGATGTTAACCCCTTCTCAGCGAGTGTCACTAGAGTATTAGCACTAATCACTGTATTAGTTTCACTATTGATATCATTGTCAGCCTCATCATGCGCCAGATGGCCAGCCACACTATCACAGTCCTACTATAAGTCGCTGATCACCACGATTGCCAGTACAGTGTCATATCTGTAAATTCTAGTATATATATACCATTGTTTGTAGGCGCTGTAACGTTTGAACAAACCAACTAATATACACTTATTGTTTGTTTTTTCTTCAAAGGACACGTAGCAAGATAGATCTTTGCTGCAAATTTAGGACTTTTTTTTGTATTATTAGATATGTTTTATAACAGAAAGTAGAAAATTCTTTTTTTTTTCCCCCAAAATTCTAATTTTTATTTATATAATAAAAAAACACAGAGGTGATTAAATACCAACTCCCTCATCACCTTCTTCCACACTCCAGAACTCCTCCAGAGCTTCTCCCTTCCTCTGGAACTCCCTACCCCAGTATGTCCGATCAGCCTCCACGCTGTCTGCCTTTAGACGATCTTTGAAAACTCACTTCTTCAGGGAAGCCTACCCCACATCCACCTAAGAACTGTACTTGAGTCAC